CTCTGCGGCGAATTATCACGTATCTAACTGATTGAACTATACAGTCTTATACTCAAATTTATATCTTATTAAAATTAAAAAACAATATTTTCTAAGATCTATACTTCGAAAAGCGTATTCAAACAGGACTCTACATACCTTTAAAATCTGCTAGAACTTTAGTAACGTGCACACTTTTAGAAATTATTGAAATAGGTATATTTTATCAGAAATATGCTTAAGCTAAAGCATATTTTTGAGCCTCTTTTTACTATTTGCTTAAGCATATTCGAACCTGTTTCAAAAATTTCATATGCTTTTAAAAAAAAACATGTATATTCCTACCCATCATTCTTATTTTTAATATACGTAATGAGTTCAAAAAACATCGTTGTATATATTTATTATGGCACGTTTCGTAAGTTTATTTCCGTTAAGAATTCTTTCGTATGTTGTGATCCGAAATACTTTCGTTTCGAAAGAAATTTTATTTTTTATCAATATTTCTAAAAATAAAATCATAAAAATTTAATAGTTATTATACTGAAAATAAAAATTCATTATAAACATTTTGGGATTTAAAGATGTTAATTTTTACAATTAAAATCAGTCTGGCAAACAAATTTTCTTTATAGACTTCAAAACGTCGTTTGGCGAAAATGTTTGTTTCGCATGTGCGACTTCCGAAACCGCTACTTTCGTATGTTGCAAAATAGTTTTGTTTCGGATGTCAACTTGCGAAATGCTAAATTTCGGAAGTGGCTTTTGCGAAATGAACATCGGCGATTTTAAATGTTTTTTAACATTCGGTACGAAAAAATGTAATTCCGTGTTCTCAATCTCCTTACGAAAGAATGTTGTTTTTCCGGAATTGCACGAAATCCTCCGGTTAACAACCCTAGTTTATTCCCGATATTTATTAAAATTTGTTGAGTTTTTGTCTTTTTTTGGTTATTCTGAGGCATGGCGACCTGTTATTTTAATTGCAACTGTTATTTTTTCATACGCAAGGTAAAAAACAGAAATAAATGACAATATATTAGGGTTGTTAACCTCAAGATTTCCTTCAATTCCGGAATTCAACATTCTTTCATAAGAAGATTGAGAACGAGGAATTACATTTTTTTCGTACCAAAAATTATAAAAAATTTAAAACCGTCGATGTTCATTTCGCAAATGCTACTTCCAAAATTTAGCTATTTTTGCAAGTTGACATACGAAATAAAACTTTTTGCAACATATAAAAGTAGCGGTTTCGGAAGTCGCACTTGCGAAACGAGCACTTTTGCTAAACAACGTTTTGGAGTCTATAAATAAAGTTTGATCACCAGACTGATTTTAATTGTAAAAAGTAACATCTTTAAATCCCAAAATGTTTATAATGCATTTTTAATTTCAGTATAATAACATATTAAATTTTTATGGTTTTATTTTTAGAAATAAAGATAAAAAAAAAATTTCTCTCGAAACGAAAGTATTTTGTACCACAACATGCGAAAGAGTTCTTAATGGAAACAAACTTACGAAACGTGCCATAATAAATATATTTAATGATATTATATACCAAGAGCTTCGCTTAACTCGGACATTCCGAGTTAAGCGTACTATTTATCTATTCCCATTGAGAGTACAACTTAACGTGGTTTTACTGTCTATATATATATATATATATATATATATATATATTTGTATAAATACTTGAAGAATTATTTAATAATATTTTTTTTTTTAATTAAATAGTAAAATTATATTTTTTTATTTGTATAACATGTTATACAAATCAAAAAATATAATTTTATTATTTATTATATAATTTGTTAACAGTTAATATCCTATATTAACATAAAATCTTTTGCGTCTTTTTCGTAACTGCGCATTCCGGAATGCTCCTTCCATAAAGAACTATTTCGTAAGTATTCTTACGAAATGATTTATTTCCCAAGTTTTCTTTCGTAATGCATTATTACGGAACTTTATTTATTTATATTTTTCTATAGTGCGTTACGAAATGTGCGTTCTCGCACGCGTAACATCCGCAACAACAATTCTATTACGGTAGATGCAAAATTTTCACTAGTTTTGTTTTTCGGCGAACAACCCTACAATATATGCATTCTAAACAGTTAAAAAAAAAAAATGTAAACACTGCTTCTTACACCAAATATGTCCAGGTGAAATTGAGTATAAAAAACAAAACAAATAAGGCCTATTTCGGTAATAACTTTTACTTATGATTAATAGATAACAATGTTTTACTATTAAGTATAATAAGCAGATTATAATTTTTTTAAAAGCAATAAATTTAGGCTGTTAACAACTGGATACTTCTGTAAAATTATCTACTAACGTCCGCCATTTTATATTTTAACGCTTTGAAAATAGTCTATAAAATTTTACATAACCTCGTAGCAAACCTTAAAATTGCTATCAAATAAATTCTTGTGGTTTAATTTTCAAAACTTTTCCTACATAACTTAAGAAAAATATGTAAATGAATCTTAAATAAATATTATATTTAATAATTAAGCCTTAAGTAAATATTTTTTTTTAGATCGTTACGACACCGTTATCCAATTAGTAATTTTTTATCTTGTAGATTTGTTGGAATTCTTCAAGTTATTCATTCAAATATTCGGAATATTCAAATCGTCGAATAGAACAGGAATTATACCGGACAAATTAAAAACGGCTAAAATTATACTCATTCTTAAAACCGGTGAAACATCATACTTAAATAACTACAGACCAATCTCCATACTTCCTACTTTCTCTAAACTACTTGAAAGAATAATCTACAATAAATTATATAACTAATCTAATTCAAAACAAATTCTTAAATAAAAAAGCAATTTGGTTTCCAGATACAAATACTTGGATGAGCCTTAAAATTAATTTTGGCAAAATCTTTTTTTTTCCACGTAATATCTGTAATGATGTCCTAGCTCACACAAAAACCTCATGTCATCTCGCCACACTACTGCTGGTATGCTGATGACATACACTGCTGGTATGCTGATGATTGGCACTGCTGGCTGGTGATTGACACTGACAGTTTAAAATTTTTAATCAAGACATTATAATTTTATATCAGTTCATCAACAAAAACAACGATTTTTATTTGATGACAATGTTTTGCCTTCGAAAAATTTCATCCGCAAAATCCAAGTTGAACCTATTAATGGTACAATATTCAAGGCTACCAAGAGGCTTAAAAAGTAACTTTTGTCCTGCATCCTTAAGGTTATTGTTCAACCAACCATCTTAACTTTTCAGGATTTTTCAATCTGCCTCTGTGAGCTCATAGAGCCTATTCTTAAGCCATGAAAATGTAACTTGCGAGGATGATTAATTTGGCTGACACACTTTCGTTTTCCAGAAAATTCAATCTATGGTATACCAGGAATTTTTCTATCTATATTATACCATCTATGGTGTACCAGGAATTTAATATATTATACAATCTATGGTATACCAGGAATTTAATTTTATGGGGACAAATCCAATTAATCCGCAAAAAATGCCATCCATTTTTATACTTATGTTCACCTATGGTTTTTAATATAGTATTTTAATTTATTATACATTTTTTTTTAATTATAGTATTTTAATTTATTATACATTTTTCGTTTACATATAATAATTTTATAAAATGCTACTGAACTATTTAAATTAAGATCATAGTTCAAATTTGTTTTCCCTGAATGGCTAAAACTTTAACTCCCATTTAAATACTTTATTTTTGTATTCCTTATTTTATTTATTTTATTATCAACATGCATTATTTTATTAGCAACATGCTTCATTGACAAATCTAACAATCAATATATTGTGGAACTTTTAAATTTTTGACTAAAACTCTTTTTTTTAATATGCTACAACATCGCCTTTTGCTCCAATATTTGTGTTTGTTGTGTCGCAAATAATCACTTTTATTACTTCCCGTAGATCATAGAAATAACTATTTTGGCTTTGCCATCCTCTAAAAGTAAGGCTGCCAACTTTATTTTTATTTTATCAACTTTATTATCATTGTTCCTTATTACTACAACTTGCATTTCTTTCTGTTTAATCTTCTTGCCATCAAAATGTAGTGCCCATCAAGGTTTTTTTATTATAATTTTCTTTAATTACTTTTTGATTCTATCAGCTTCATAATTGCTTTGCAAATACCTGCCCGTGTTGAAGTTGCAATATTAATACCTTCTTCTGGCAACCGATAACACTTTTTTGCTCTGGTGTGTACTTAGTTTTACTATGTATTATTTACTATAGAAACAGCTGAAGCAATTGAAGCTTTTCTTTTTTTTACTGCAGAAATTGCTTGTAGTTGGGGAAAAATCAAAGTAACTGTTGTCAGCCATCCATCCATGACAAAACCATGCATTAAATAGAAATCACTTACTTTGACTCTGGTAACAGTGCAAGAGACTAAAATAAAAAATTATAAACATTATTATATATAAAATTGTTAAAAATTGTTCCGTATTATTTTTTCAAGGTTAAGGGGTGGGGTGGGTGGGGTGGGGGTGGAAGGAAAGTAAAATTTTAAAAATGCGTTAGGAAGGATGGGATTTGGTCAAAAAAATGTCAAAATTTGCATGACGTAATTTATGGACGATCCCTTTGAGAAGTTTTAAATTATACTTTAATTTATCTTACTGCGCGTTTTTTTATTTAATAGAGAACAATCGATAATAGTAAACAAAAAAATGAAAGAAAAAATAAATAAAATAATAACATAAAATTAACAGTCTTTATTAAATACCAATATTACTATATTTTAATAATTTATAACATCATTTGAACATTTTTAAAATAATATAAATATAACCACTATATACAGAATCGATATGATTACATTCTAATCACACTAAACCACACTTGCTTTTTTTAGTAAAATTTTTACGCGATAAAAACTAAACGCGTGATAAAATGACGCATTAAATCTTTTTAGGCTTTTTAACAATGCGATTAAACGACGCATTCGCATCATTTTTTGGAAAAAAACTTCAAAACAATGATTTACACTTTTGTACATTATTGATTTGAAGTTTTACAAAAAAATGCAAGTTTTAAAATTTGTTATAAGGTATAATGGAAAATTATATGGATAAAGTACCAACATTTACGTTTTCATAAAAGCTTTCTTCTAACTCCTCGGAATTTTCATTAAACTCTAAATTCGTATTCAAATTTGAACCGTCCATAGATGATAATGGAGACGAAATTAAATCATATTCAGCAGACGAGCAAGAAAGCAAAGTTTTGGATGGATCAGAAGAATTTATATCGTGACTGATTTTCGGTGAAATTGTGGAGATAATTGAACTTCTGCTGATTGTTGATACATTGCTCAATCTTGAATTAGTTGTGGAGTACCCAGAATCTCTACGGTCACTTTCAGAGAAATTAAAATCTTTTGACGAATCGTCTAGTTCTTGGTCGCTACTTTTACTTCTAATAGATTTTTTAAATTTGTCCAACTCTATAAAAATCCTAAAAAAATATATACATATGATTATCAAAACTTCCCTCAGTAAAATTAATTTCAATAATAAGTTACTCACGGGTTATTTAAGTCATTTCTCGGAATTTCTTTTACAATCGGCTTATCAATAAAGTCATCGTCCATGTTTGACTGCTAAACAAAAAAAATAGGAGTAGGACAATCTGTCAAAAAGATTTTCAAGTTGCAGTTGTTTTATTGAGGAATATAGTCGGCTAGTTGGACGTTTGACACATTTCAGAGGGATGATTTTGATTTTCGATGACCTTTTTTTTTTCAGAATTCTATCGGTTCTTTTTAAGGATTTTCTTACCCTCATTTTATTCCTAGAATTTTATTATAGAATTTCCTGTGCAAAGTTATCCCATTTTAATTCAATTTGTAGATTATTTACAAAACTGGAAATTTTTAATTTTCAACAAGAAATTCAAATTCAGTATACTTGAAGTCAATAACATTATAATCACTTTAAGCAGCATATTCACCTTTAGATTTAATTGGATTCACTTCTGGATTTAAATCTTACTATTATTTGTAATATTACTATATTGTTAAGTTACTATGGTAATGTAGTAGGGTGATATAGTTATAAATATACTTTTTTAAATTTTAAAGTATTTTAAACCATTATAACCTGAAGTAATTCATGTTGTAAATATTCCTGAATATGCTTTTTAATATTTAATTTAATTATAAACAAAGAATTTTTGTATTGTTTTTTCGAAAAATTAAAAATACTACATATAAAGTCAAAATAAATAAACATACTTAGTATTTCACAACGCAACAAATAAGTAGTACAAAGAAGTAGAGCGTTAAGGACTCCGAGTTTAATCATTCGCTCCGTTTTAACATATAATCTACTGTTTATTTTTTTTTAAAACAGCTGCTAATACTTTAGGGAATTTCGAAGAAAATTAGAAGCACTTTTAATGAATAAAATTTATTGACACAATCCGCAATAGATTTCATGATAATTGAAGGATCAAAATCTATAATACGTTTTCTTTTTTTTTCAAACGGATATATAAAAATTTTTTAAACTAAAATATTTTAAAATATTTTTGTTTTATTTTATCAACTTAATTTACAAAAAATAAAACTTAATGCGGACGCAGGCTTTTATAATGTTTTGGTAATGACACTTTCAGGGATTTTAAAAACTCTAAATTTAAGTATGTTCATAAAAGTTTTCAGATCATAACCTTATTAAACTATAAGGTTATTAAATGAATTTTAAAACCTGTCGATGAAATTAGATTTAGTATTAGACAGTAAATTATAATAATTTATAAACTAATAATTGCAAAACATACTTAGTTGAGACAAACATGAGCATAATTATATTTTTAGTTTTTACAATGCCTGAAGGTGTCATATAGGAAATATCAAAAAGTCCTGTGTCCGCCCACGAGACTAACTTATCAGATATTCCCTTACGTAATTGACAAATCTGTAATCGACACTGAATTGAAAATGATCACATGTTGTGATGATTTAGAGCTTATTTATGTTCAATTATTAAAACTGTAGTTTTCTTCAAACAAAAGTTATAAGATTACCCAGATAATAATATTATGAACATTGCTAAGGATTAATTATAGCGGTTTTGATATTTTTAAGAAGCAGATAGATACGCGCAGTTTACTAATTAAAAAATCAAATAATTGGTGAAGGAATGGGCCCACGGCTTACTGTAATTCAGTAATTAGAGTAGGGAAATGATGGGCAAATAAACTGAATTTAGAAATAGTAAAACATTTTATGCAAATTGCCAATACATTTGAAATTTTGTTTCATCCCAAATTTATAAAAAAGTCAACTTATAAAAAGTTGTGTTGATACCGAAATTTCGGTTTCGTTATCAACACAAATTGAAAAGTTCGGCCGAAATCAAAGTTCGGCCGATCACTACTCTCTACGCTCTCAATACGCTAACTGGATAAAATATGTTTATAAATTTGCATATAAATAACAAAAAAGCTTAACACGCCAAGACCTACTTTACCCTACTTTACCAAATATGCTTACATTTTGTGTATGTTCTTGAAGAACCTTCAGAAAATTCTCTTTCTCTTCCTCCTTTTCAAAACACAAATATAAATCTCTCGGAGCTTTCAAATACACAAGCGTGACGCAAACAGCGAATTGGAAACCTTTTATTCCTTCACTTATATTCCTGATGCCACAATCGTCGAGTATAAACTTTCCTAAAAAGTATAAAAAAAAAGATAAAAAAAATTAGTCTTATTAAATCATAAACATGCATTTAATTTTCTTTCAAAACAGAGATCCAGCCAAGCTTCACATCTAGTGAGCTTTAAGGAATTATAAAGTTCGGATTATAAGTTTCAACGGTATTAATTAAAGTTAGCAAATAAACTATAGTTTGGCGCAAAACGCAATTTATCTTACCAAGATGTGGTTTATTTTCTTTTTTGTAGTAAGTTAGTACTACTCTTTGTTGAAGAGGATCGCTACTTTCGTGAAGATTCAAAGGCTGATCAAATAGTGAAGCTGATCTTTGCCTTAATTGAAATGAAGCTCTTTTTTTCTTTTTTCTTATTTGATCTGAATTATATATTTTTTCCATAGAAACTGTGCAATATCTAGTGCGAAATGGTTTGACAAAATCGCTTGCCGACTTGGTGATATAACCTTCATAGAAAAGCATGGCTGCCCAATAAAGAAGCTATGGATTTCAAGAGTCTTTCATTAAACTATTAAGTAAAAATTTCAAAATAACTTTTTTTGGTCGGCACTTAACAAAAATTTTGTAAAAGGAATATTTTTTAAAGTAAACAAGTTCATCTAAGTTTCAAATTACACTTCAAATCGATTTGTTTTGAGTTGTCTTACAATACTTAGTCTAAATTTCCCCTCCAAAATATTTGAGAGATAATTGACGTCATTCACATAGTGGATAAAGAAATAATATAACTGATATAGGAAAATAATTAGTGATGTTGTTATGATATATTGCTTGCACAATGTTTTCTAAATACGTTGTTTTATAAATTAGGCATATCTCGTTATCATCAAATTTTATTAGTCGAAATGTAATAAAGATAGGTCTGATTTATATGTCTGATTTATAAAATAACGTATTTAGGAAATATTGCGCAAGCAATATGTCATAACTAAAATATTTATCTAGGTTATTTTTCTAAGAAAATTATTTTTCTGAAAACAAATTTAACTTAAACAAGTGAAATACGATTTATTTGATTTCATAATATATGGAACGATTTAAAAAGTATTTTTTTTTTTATGCTAAAGTGTTAAATTCCTCCTTTTTTTGTAAAAAAAAACAAGGAATTTAAAAAAATTTTTAGAAAAGAGAAGTTTTTTTTTTATTCATTTTTTTAGTATTTTTTTTTTAAAGTTTTTTTTTTATTCATTTTTCTGAAAGATCATCAAAAAGTATTATTGAGGTTAACTACCTAGGAGATAAGTGCTATTACTGATTTTTAGTAGAAAATGACTTTTGTCATTTTCATGCTTGGTTTAAGGCAAAAAAATAATTGTGCAGAATAGTTTAGTATTATCTTCTTTCTTTATATCTTATTGAATTTCTTATCTTTCTTTTAACTATCTGCTTAAATGCTTGACATAACCCAGTACTAGATTAAGGGAGGGGGAGGGGTACTGTAGTCCCGGGCCCGGCAGTTTTGAGGCCTCGATTCAAAATAATTTTTTTTTAAAAAGAAACTCTTAAAGTAGAATTTTTGATTAATGATGTGGAAAGGGGCCTCCAGCCTAAAACAGCCTCAAGCCTAGAAATATTTTGAACATAATAATGTTAGTAATGGTTTTACTGACATTACTTCAACTGTTGTGTATCTATAGATGGAAGTATAGCAGAAACAAAGAAATGCAATAAATGGTGTTGTGGCATTAATGCTTTTAGAAAAAAGTACTTTGTAACCCATGTAGAATTAGCTAAAATTTATGTATATGTTTTAACAATTTTGACTCTGTTTACACATTTATATACTTAGGGCAGAGATATTTTGATATCTTGAGTTCCTCGAGCGCTGAACTAGCGGTAAAACGCTTGGCTCACTATCAAAAGAATTGAGTTTTGAATCCAGTCTACGCCTCATAAAAAGAGCAGGGTTTGTGTATAAGAGGTTTAGGTTAAGTGAGTTTCAAATAAAAAATAAACACAGCTATAGAGTTTCCTCAGCTATAGTAGCCCCTTCTGAAATCAAGGGCAGGTGAGACCAATGAAAAAAGTTATGATCAGTTTCAAAAGTTTCACGAAAAAAATGTACCAAAATCAGCATTATTCTGCAATAACAAAGACAATTAAGAACAGTCAATTTAAAGTTTTAATTACAACTTTTTTCTTTTTGAGAAAAATATTTTAAAATTTTAAATAACACTTTTTTTTTACAAATTTGATACAAAATGTCAGAGTTGTTTGTCCTTGGTCTTGGCCTTGCCTTAAGGCCAAAAATTAAGGCCATGGCCTTGAATATTTTAGCCTTGGCCTTTTCATTAAATTCAAGACTATCTTTCGTGTTTGCATTTTAAAATTTTTACTACAGCTGGTTTTGTTTACAAGAGTTATTTTTGTTTATCGAAAACTTTACAAATTAATTTTGTTTTAATATCTCTGTTTAAATTCAGTTTTTGATTAGCCATTTTTAAACATTTATCAATTAAATGATTGCTTAACGGAAATTTATTACAACTTTTAAGTTTTAATCAAATCACTTTAGTGAAGGCTCCAGGAATTTATGATGGTGGTGTGGGGGATGGGGGAAGAAGGGCTTCAAGTTGAAATATTTTTGAATTTTTTATCGCATTTGTGCCTCCTAAAAAAAAAGTTCCTCTATTTCTAAGATAATTTAGGACTTTCTGATTCTGGTGGAGGGATAGGGTGTTCATATTTGATACAAAATTTAGCCTTGAGAGGGTGTTCATACTCTATCATCCCCCCCCCTGGATCCGTCGCTAAGTCACATGATTTGTTTTAATGTTTTTCTTATTGGTTGATACATTTCAAAATTAAAAAAACGATTTAAACGCGTGAGTTTTTTTATAAATTAAGAATAGAACTTTAAAGGTTTTTAAATAAAAATATATTTTATTTAAGTTATAATTTATTGTTAAGTATTTTTTCTTTATTGATACTGTTTTTATTTAACTAATCAAAATCTACTCATAAAAATTGCTGGTAATGTATTTTTAAAAGAGTTTTTCTTATTTATAAAATTTTATTAAAATAAAAACTTTATTTATAAAATGCAACTTTGAACTAACAAGCTATTCTTCTTTATATTTAAAAAAATTAAATAATGGAAAAGGCTTCGTCACCAATCATCGAATTCGGATACAAAAATTTCCTTATAAATGGTCAGCTACCCAGCTAACAACAAACGTTCATAAAATGTCGCCAAAACGTTTATTTAGGTTCGCATAACGATTGCTGTAAACGTTACGTGAACCAACATTTGTGAACTCGATTTATAGTACTTGAACGTTCAATACGAACGTTCAAATAATAAACATAGAGTGTTCACTGCAAAGGTTCTTTTGATAGCACTTGAACGTTCACCTCAAACACGGAGGTTTACCCAACGTTTTTTCTTTTTTTTTTTAGTTTTTAATTAAACATATATATTTATTGGTTTAGACGGACTTACTGTTTAAACTTATATTTGCTAGTATTTGCGTAATATAATCCTTTTTTGAAATAACATAGTCTTTATTTATTTAACAATTGTTTAATAAGTATTTATGTAAAAATTTGTTTGTACTTCGGTACAAATACAATATGTTTTGCAATTAAATTACACAATATCAAGCTTATTCGAGCGTCCATAATTTAATTATTACATTTCAACCGTAAGGCACACAATAGGCTGAGCTGAATACAATAAACAATAGTTCATACTAAAAAAAAATACTTCTTGGATTAAAAAAGTTCAATTATTATTACTAATTAGTGCTTTAAAGGGTTCTAACAACAATATACATCAATTTAAGTTTTTGGAATTTAAATCTGTTTACAAAACAACATCAATAACATATAAAATAAGTGTTCTTTCAGTGAAATGGTACAGTTTTTACCACTAAAAACAATGAAAAAAAAAAATAGACACTTTTTTTTTAAAATAGTGCAAGTTTGCAATACTTTATCAAAGATAATTATTATTTTTTTATTAAAATTTTTTTTTATAAAATTTTAATTTTTCTAATAAAAAAAGAAAGGCTCTTTGTGGTTTTAATAAACAACAATAATTAAGAATGACCTTAAATGTACCATTTATAAAAGACATTAACTGTTATAAACTGTAAATTTAATACAAAAACAGTTTTATACATTTTCACAAAAAAATTCTTAATAGAAAACGTAATTTTTAAAGTTAATTATTTCAGTTTAAAAAATGAAATTTTTCTCGCCATTTTTCAGCAGTTTTCGAAAATCTGTGGCAAAAGACCAATTTCAACCCGGTCAAACGAGAGACACTTTTCCTACCCATCAAAAGCGGGGGTCTCAAAATACTATCACTAAAGGAGCAAAGTCTTGCGCTCCGCCTCAAAACACTCTTTCAAATAAAAGAGTGTGAAGAGGACAAAACTCACGATTTTTACTACTTTTCAAAGTATTGGTTGGCAAGGTTACTTGTAAAATTTACTAAACAAAACCAAAGCTGGATTTTTTAAGACAAAACATTTTTCCGAAACACTGGGACAACAAAATGTCTCAGTACTACAAAACTACAATTGAAATCTAAGGCAAATAAGGGGCCCCTGTTTAACATCTCCCTAAAAACAAAAAAACTTTTATTTAGAAGTGGTAAAAAACAAAAAGACAGTCGTGCCAGCCGAACTTTTCTGGAAACTTTTCTCCAATAAATTCGATTTTCTCGATTGAAACTGCGAATTTATCGGAGAAAAACCCTACCTCGCAGCTGTTGTTGACAGTCACTCAAACCATTATGAGTGAAATATGGAACAGCAGATGCCACCATATGTTTTAAAATTCGATAATTGACCCAACGGCATTTTCGATATTTATCACAAATACTTTTTTGTGACATTCCACTTACGTAATCACCAATAATTTTCTTTCTTAGTTCATATCCAAGACTGTCGGGAGCCATTTTTGCACTTGAAGTCATAAAAATAATAAAAATATATAATCACGCTTCTCAAGGCTTACCGTGTTACATTTACCTTGTGATGATAAAACACTTTGATAAAACTCACTTCGATAAATTGTCTTGATAATACTGACTGATTGACTTCCATATACCGACTGAATTACATGTTGGTTTACATGTTTCTTATATAGTAAAATGAACCTTTGTGAACCTGTTCTGGAAGATTTTAGATGCTTCTTTTCGATGCTTTTGGAAGCTTCTGGATGCGTCTGGATGCTTCTGAATGTTTCTGGATACTTCTGGATGCTTCCAGATGCTTCTTCTGGAAACTTCTGGAAGCTTTTGCATGCTTCTGGAAACTTCTGGATACTTCCTTTATTTATTAAAAAACTTCCGTGACGTTGACACGGACTAGACTTAAGAAAATGAAACAAACCAAAAAAGTTGCACTTGTTTTGTCTGCTACAAAATGGCACTTGTCAACGAAATTCTGCCTGTGTACTGTCACCTGTCAGCTGATTGCTCATGTCATAGCATGCTATGACTCCAGACTCCTGAACTGTTTCCTGTGGTAGTATAGTTCGTATATATATATATATATATATATATATATATATATATATATATATATATATATATATATATACGAACATGCAAATAACATATATGTTAATATTTATATATATATATATATATATATATATATATATATACGAACATGCAAATAACATATATATTAATATTTATATATATATATATATAAATGTATACATATATATATATATATATATATATATATATATATATATATATATATATATATATATATATATATATATATATATATATATATATATATAAATATAAAT